TTCTCAGAAACGATCATTGCGGGAAAATTGTGGGCCGGGACTAAGATTTTTGAACGATCGATGCGATAAAACGATAGTTCGAGGAACGATAGAAGCGGGAAAATGTAACATTATTTTATATGGAATGTATTCGGGACCGAACAAAACGGACGATGCATCCGGGAAAACGATAGTTCCGGGAACGATGGATAGAGGTTTCACTGTATACCTCAAATTAACTTCACAAAGCAACCAAGGACATCACCATGTGATGGACATCCCAAAAGCATTCAAACTCAATAAAAGTTACAGAAAATATATGTATATACTTCTACTGTTCGACTCACTTCCATCTATACTTAAATGTTTGTGAATAATTTCCAATTGGTTAAGTACAAAGACACTGCTGTAGCAGTCACAGACACATCAGTGATTCATTTTCATCAAAATCAAAAGGAATTGAACGGAAATTCGTTGTTAAAACCAGTCAAGTATCAGCTTACATCTAGAGTGATGATGTAAGGACATCATCAATGTAAATGAAATTATCATCTGTGACAAGCAACCATGCACACAGAGTTTTAACTCATACCATATTTCATTTGCCAGAGCTGACTTAATGGAGAAGCCGTGAATTTATATAGAAAGTTGATCTATTTACGTTTCTGCTTGCTGTACATGTTACTAAACTAGACTACAAGAAAGAAAAGACAAGTACGGCTTTGAATTGCAGGAGTAAACTCGTATCCAGTAACAAGTTCATTAGTTCTGATTATAGACCAGTGAATTTAGTTACTAATATTTCCAGGCAAATTAAGAATATAAAAGTTATACTTCAGCATGAACTACTTAAAAGAAAGATCTTCTGATCTATTTATCCACTTTTATATTACTATGGTCCTCACTCAAGTGAAACAACCATGTTAACATGAAGTGAATAGTGTGAAAACAAACCTCTGCATAAAAAGCAGCAACTACTATTCTCTGTGGTTCCAAAGAACTGGTGACATACTGGTTCAGGCAGGTCACAAGTCGAGGCATGGACTGAGGCATGCGGTAACACAGAGCTCTGAAACCACAAAAATAACAAAAGTCCTAAATGAACAAAAGTGAAATTCCTCACATGCAAAAACTAATGTGAATTAATATACATTTTTCCCTTCACTTCAGACATTCAATTCTAATATTCATAGTTCAGTCATTTTCCAACCACCAGATACCAAGATACTATTTTCCTGTCTATAAGACACAAAAATCTTATTGACTGCAGTCTTCTGGGTTATGACATTGTGTAACCTTGTAGGTGATTACCAAAACTTCCAAGTAAAAGATGTACCCAACTAGAACACTACACAGCATCAAAGCCCAGAAGACTACAACCAACATTTTCCCTCCATAAGAACCTTGAATAACAAAAACACCTTTATTGCTTAAACAGCATATTCTGGCAGCTTACTTTGTAATAGCAGGAATCATCTCAATGAAAGAAGCAAGGCTATCACCAATACCCACGTGCGTGCACTGGAGCATTGCTTCTGCTACATGCTCACACTTTGAACATAGCAAGAATGATTTAAATGCTTCTACTGCAACTCTGAAATGATAAAGATGTAAGTTCACACATCAGACTTTTAACCATCTTATTTAAAGAATTTTGCACGCAGTGAAATTCAAACAGAATGTGAATCCATGTTATTAGATCCACCAAATACTAGACTGACAGTCTAATACAGCAACACGTAACAATGCTCGATTGAAATTTGCTGGATCATATGACTACGTGATTGAGCAGCTTCATGCCAAACAGTGATTGGAATTGACTTTATTTTATTTTACTAATCTGGATGAAAATTGTAATCACCAGTGGGACAAAGTGCTAACTGACTTCACTGAGGATAAAAAGTGAGCGCTGAAGAGAAAGTAGTGTTACCAAACAGTGCCTCCCAGATCACAAGAAGAAGTGGGAAGACATTAGCAGATTAGACAGGACCTATAGCAACACAAATTTCTTAAGTGCATTGTGGTTATGGCCCATATTTTAAATATAAATCATATAATATTTAAGAAAATAGTAATGACTCAGAAGCAGCATTCCATTCCGTCATAATAGAAGAATATGTGCAACAATGGATCAAGATGAAGGGGCAGCTCAAATGTCATTATTCTACACAAAAGCAATTTGAGACTCAGCATAAGACTTAACCAATCATGAGGATTTAGGATATCACACTTGTTTAAATGGCAAACTATTTTATACTTTCTATAACAGGTGTCACTGAACTGTCATAAAACCTACATAGCTCACAGGATGAGCGGAGAATTGTAACCTGTATTTATTTTTGATATATATTCTACACAACACCTGTGGTAATTTTACACTCAGGTTTAAACTGAAATTTACATGACCTGCAACAATGAATATGAAAAAACTGGGAAACAAGCTAGGTTTCCAGAAGTGGATCATTTTATGTTCAGGTCATCTTATATTTGTGTAAAGAAATTAGTTTCATTGCCCTCCTGACATCACAAACTCAGTCTATCAAGTAGATAAGTACCAATTTCCCATACCTTGCTGGATTCAGCTTATATGCATTTTGGTTAGGAACAAAGACTGACTTGTCTTTCTTGCCCTTTGTATGCTGTGGAGGTGAAGTACCAATATAGCAACTGAGCACAATTAGCATAGTAGAAAACAGTTCTGGAAACCTCTTGACAGCAATCTCTTGCATTGTGGCGAGCCGGAACATTTCTTGCATCGCACTGATAGCCTGCAAAAATTATTATGGACAGCAACACAGAAGTGTACAATAACTAATAATCATATTTATATGCATCCCAGAGTGGAATTTATGAATTACGATCAAAACTGCATCATATGCAACCTTTCTTTTTTATTATGTTTGTTCTAGGTTGACTTTTCTGGTCTAAATGAAACAGAACAAAATAAAAAGGTCATGTGTAACAAAATGTTTGCCGTAATTGTGTTCATTCACTTTTTAAACAACAAATACATTCTGAAAACACAGTAAACATAACTTTACATCTACTGGTATCAGCAAACAACTTCGCACATTTAGGAACATGACAGCAATTTAACAAGTAAATAAAAATGCATATGTCAATGGACCCAACTGCATGACTTGAACTGCTCTCCAGAACTGAACCTGAAATGTTTTCAGCAAGGCACGGTCATTAATGCTATTATATTTATAATTACTCACAGCAAGTGGCTGCAAAGCTGCTATCCTCAGTTTTTCCCTGTCTGTCTGCTCATCATACAGTGCTGCATTATTCATAAGTTGCAGGAAGTGCTCAATAATGTCTGCAGACAGGGCAGGATCTTGAGCCAATACTGACCAACACTCAACCACAGACCTAAAAACATATTTCACAAACTGAGATATGTAGATGATATTAAATTTAATCTTCTCGATTACTCCATCAATCCTCTTTCAAAGTTTGTTAAGTTCTGTAATATGGTGTGCATGCACATGATTTAATTGAAAGAAATTTGAAGCCTTACAAGGTCTGGTTCCTCTAGCATAAAGTATTCTGTCACACACTAAATAAATATAAAGTTTTACCCATTCACATACAAGTCACTATTACGGGAAACTGTTTATCACAGATTATGGCAAAATATAGGTTTCTTGAAACTGAAATTTCCTGAGCTTCTGCTATTCAATACAGTTACACAAATAAAAAAAATACTATTTTATCAGCAAATGGTTATAATTTAGAAGAAAAAAAATAACATTATACGCTAACAAGAAATTTGAGTTAATAGTTCAAAACACAAGTCAGAAGATGCAGGAATGTACTGCTGCAGTCATCTGTTTGATATATCCCACAAGAGAGATAAATATGGGTATATTTTGATGTAAACAGGGAAGAAGGATGTGACACCTTCAAATTGTTCAAACCAGATGGCAACATTATGCAGACCACTAAAAATGTGCTTTCATAGCTTAGCTCACAGACTAGAACAAAATGTTGCTGCAAAAGGAGAAGATTGTTTTCTGATGTGGAGAAAAGTTGAATGTTACAGTGTACAGTAATAAACTAACTTCAAATGTCACAACACATGGGTTAACTCACGTGTCATACGGCAGTGGCTGGTGTAGAAGCCCTGTCACTACAGCCTTGGGGTGGTGATGAGCTAGAGCTTGTATTGCCCGTACACTGCCCATGCGGGTCTGGGCACACTGGATGTTCACCAGTCTCTCCAAAATATTATCTGAAACATTTACATCACATCATGATTTCATTCAAAATGAACAGTACAGAATAGAAGAAAAAAAAACATAATATATATGCACTTCGAATAATCATGGACCAAACTGACAGGTGCAAACTGCATAATTTGCTACAATTCAGTTCACAATCCTTTTATCATTCCATCAAAATCAACTGCAAATATCAATGCATGATGTTATCAATCAAGTCCATATTTCAAACAAGAATTTTCTTACTTAGTATGTCACCGACTTGGTGATACAGCTCTCCGCCATGAGATTTGAGCAGAACCGTAAGCACCACACTGGCACCACTTGAGCTGTATGGCTCCACATCTTCGAGACCATTCACAAGGCTCTCCAAGAAATGTATACGTTGAAAATGAGGTAACCTTGTACATATTATCTGCAAATCAAAAATAAACATGTCAGTAATACACACATCCAAATAATTATATATGTTCTTATGTGCAAAGTAATAATATTAACCAATAATAAATTGCATTATTTTATACGAAGAAGGTTAATATAACAAATGATAGTATGATTAGCATTTCTGTAGTGTTTGTGATTAATTCATTATTACAAATAATAATACAAATAAAATTTAAGTTTCATAAGAAATATATAAATTGTAAAAATTATGTAAAAACCATGCAACAAAATTAAAACACTGAATATAAATTTGTCCCTGTCACAGCATGTACATTAAATATTTCTTGTTTCCCCCTATTCATTCTAAATGTCCTACTGTTTTACAACTGCTGGGAGACCTTTACTTGGAATACCTATAAAATGGTGATAAAATATCATTATAATGGACCTTAGGAAAACAGTTTATCAAGCAGGTTCAAGTTGCAATAACATACTAGTCTTACATTTAGGATACAGCCAGTCAGAATCTTAGCCAGGTCACTAGCTATCCTGACTGAGATATTCTTGTAGTCTTCTTTACTGACTACTTACTTACCTTTGCCAATTCATTTGTAACTTTGAACAATTCATTTGGATCTTCAGTATGAACCTTTTCACGGATTTGTGAAAGATCACTTGCATGGTCATTATCATGATCTACCACATGACCTTCATAAAGTGCTGCCAAACAAAGTACCAATCGCACACAGTCGATAGCCTCCTGCCTCACTGCCATGCAAGGATCTGTACATCGAGGCACCACCTGTCCCAGAATCAGGCCTGATTGGCTAAACTTGCTAGGAGCCTGGAAATATTAAACTGGCAGTTAAAATAGCAGTGCTTTCTTCAGGAGGAAACCATCAGAGGGAAACATAAAACTAGCTTATTTTGCAATAGTACCATTTTAATTTACAGCAAAAGGCATGGAAAGAAGACAAACACAAGTTTTACGTATAGAAAACTATCTTCACACTACCCAATCATGTCATTCTGAATGTGCCAGAAACATACATAGTACAATGTAAGTCAGTAACAATACATCGTTTAATAAATAAAATCATGAAATCTCTCTTAGAGCAAAATATCTTCCACTTATATATATATATATATATATATATATATACATATACACATATTGCTTAAAAACATGAAATGATTGGTAGTCACCTCATAGCCAAAGTTTACATTGCCCAAGTAGCATTGCAGAATGGAATGGAGAGTGTTAATAGAAGCTGCCCTCTGGTGACAGTTTTTCTTAATTAGCCATGGCTCCAAAAGTGTAAAGATGTCATCGAGTGTGGCTGGAGATACAGAGTCCAAGAGAAGCTGCTGGACCAAGGTATCTAAATTATAAATAAAACAACTCGTCAAGGACACAGAACTCATCACAGATTAAAAAACTTCCAAAATTGTCTAAAAGTGTGGTAAAACTTCAATTCAACTTTCAGACCATCATTATACAAGATAAACTGCTTAGGCTGGTCCTAGTTTCCTTTACATAAACTTTACAATTAAAATTCAAGTTTCTGATCTTCATAATTTTGCTGTTCATTCCATAGCAAGGTACACAAATTCAAAACTTGCAATCACATCCCATAAACTTGCAGATGATATAAGGTGTGTATGATGCACTGCAGCGAGATGTGCCCCACCCTCTCAAAAAAGGAACAAAAATCATTCCCAAGTTTCTGTAAACTGGTGTGAGCTTTAGCCAAAACCGATTTTGCAGTTTGGAGGAAGACTTGGATTACTTGGCCTGGCTAGGAGGGTAATGACAATATCATAACATAAGGGTAGATTAAATTCAGGGAATGCTTGTTATGATGAAGTTCAGAATCCCGTCTTCCTGTTGGCTATCTACAAATTTAAAAATTAGAATATACAACACATATAACAACACTCTAGAATGAGAAAATCTCCGTAATAATTTCAATGTTGTATTCAATATAATCCTTTCACTTTTAATTCCTTTCCATTAATGGTTTGGAACACAAAATGTCATTTCAATTAGAAATCATCTCCTATTTCCAAGGATAAGCAGGCCATTTACTTAGGCAACCCAGGATGAGAGTCATATGGTCAGTCCATCCCACATCCACACAGTTGCTGATGTCACCAAGACATTCCTCGGGACTGCTGTCCCCTGCCACTGCAGCTGCAGCGTTGTATACCCTGTCGAAACAGATCTTCAGCACAAAAAACTGCTGCGATGGATGGTGGCAATTTACTGTAACTCAGTCAAGGAGTCTTGTAACTCAAACTGAAACTAGATCTAAACTTGAAAATAGTATTTCCAAGTGAAATACTTGCAATCTACAATTGAAAAAAATCATAATTCCATTACTGATGAGGATTTTCTGGGGAAAAAGTTAAACCAATAATTCTGTACATTCTATAAAACAGTTCTAAAAAGTAAGATTATATGGAACAAATTCAAGAACAATAATAGCATATGTTTTAATTTAACTGCTAATTTCTAAATTGAGGTATAACATAAACTTATAAACTGAAGACATTTGTTTTGTTATATATTTAAAGTACACAACAGTTTGTAAATACATATCCTGTTTTGCACCATGTAGAAGTAGAAGCATTTCAGCAAATAAACACAGTTTTGAAGACATCTATAAACATGGTTACTGTTTCATAACAATAAAAACATTATACAAGATTCGTGCAAGATTCTCCTTCCAGAGGACTGTGATATTTCATAAATCCACCTAAAATTAGTCTTTTATTCTGTATCCAAAGCCATTCCTTTTAAAGACTAGAAGAACTACATCTCTAAAGCATGTAATTATGTACTAAGCATTAACATGCAGTTAGTAGCAGACATTTAAATTTTGTTCAATGCACAACTGTAGCAACTTGTGAAACAAATTTCTCTGCCCCTCTCTGCATAGACTTCTCAAGGATACATAAGAGCTGCTGCAACACGAAGAACCATGGGATATAAATCCAGTCGCCTATTGTTCAGACCAACGTTACTGTACTGAGGACGCAGTTGATTCAGCGTCTGGTTCAGCACCTCACTACGGCTATGAAGAATTACATTCAATGTGTTGCGATTAGGATGCAGAGCTTCTGCTATGTTGCCAAGTGTTCTGAGTGATGCTTCTCTAACAGATGCATCCTGCACACCAAACAAAACAAACCAGCATCACAATCCTAACTTCATACCCAGGTAAAGTTTTCGGACAACAACATAACAATATCAGAAGTTTACAGCTTTTATAAATTAAACTTTATACTTGTATGGGGTATACCACTTAAAATACAATCTAATGACAATCACAAACTACAGCAAAAAAAATTCTGAAGCAGGTCCAGCCTGATGCAACAGACTCTTCCAACTTCCTCCATAACACTCAAGTCAAGGTCACCCTTGCTGCTAGGCCGCTGCTCATGCCAGTTGCACAAAAGCTGTGCTGGTGCAAACATGGTACATTCAGGAGCTGAATGTATGTTCATTCTCAAACATCACTTTGCAATGAAATCATATGCTGCTATTCGTGAAACACACAACAATGTGTATTCTGACAACAAAGTATCAAATATGACAATATACTGACTGGTGACAAAGTTTCTGTCTGTGACAAGTGGTCATCAATCAATACAAAAACTATAGTTATTGTTGTACCAGTTTCAAGAAGAGTATCAGTTGCAACAACAGAACATGGCTACAATAATTCAATACAGCCACTGGTTTTGCATCTTGTGCAAAAGGGGTTCATGTGTAGTAGTTAGGGTTTCATTTTAAGTGGAACACACCTTACATATTTAATGCATCAATAATTTTTTACATCAACCATACTGAGGCATCTGACTTATTACAGGCATGAACTATGCCTTCATACATTAATTTTAATAATTTCATAATTTTAGTTACTTAATCACACTTAAGAAACAGTGATTAATAAAACATCCAAAACCTTTTTCCTTAAATTTACAATTTTTAGTAATTCAATTTTAAACACAAATTCAAGAACCTTTCTAATGAGTTACACTTGCAAACTAGTTATTGCAGTATATAAGATTTTTTATAGCCCTCAGGCTGATCTCAGTTGATTAGTGTGCCTTAAGATACATGCATGCAATACTTAGGCAACAGGATTTTCACACTGAAGTGTATATGCTTCATAATGATCCAGTTGGTTCAAATGTACAGCATAAATAATCCAATAAAGTTTCTATAAACAGCTACTCATGTATTTTTGATGATACTACAAACCAGGGGTTTTAAACCTTTTGCAGACCTAAGAACACATTCACCCGTGCTTAACTTGCAGGCTGCAAGGTTATAAATAAGAACTTGATGGCAGTTCAATAAAAATGCTACTTACTATTACAAACATGTTCACATATTACACAATAATGTTTTAAACAAACTCAGTCATTATTGAGATATCTCCCACAAAGGCATGCAGGCCACACAAAGTGTATCAGAGAGCCGCATACAGCCCACTGCATGAGAGCCCCCACCAGCACAAATATTTCACATAAAATACAAATAAAACTTAAACTCAATAACTGCCTATGTTTCAACAGCCCTTACCTTTGCAGTCTGGAGCTGCTGAAGCACCCATTGTGTAATACCTTGCTCCAGATGTGGCAGCAACTCACAGCTCAAGGCCTCTAGTGCTAGCTCACCATAACATAACAGCAGTGTCAGTCTTATTCGCTCCACCTCACCCTCATGCTTCACATCTTTCATGAAGCCAAGGAGGCGTGATGATTTGCGGGTCAGCTCTTCCTTTATCAGCCTCTCTAATTTCAGTAATACCAGATTTAAGTGGTTACGAGTACAGATCCCAACTGCTCGTGCACAAGCCTGCAGAAAACAAAGAGTTTTTTCCTTAAATTCTGTACAATGTTTTTGAAGATACAACTGCCAGAGACTAAATTGTGCTAAAAATACAAGTAAAGTAATTCCTCTTTTCAAGTTGTCAGTATATGAAATACAGCATATGTATGCATTAATATGATTGCACAGACTACACAGCACAACAACCCAGAAGACAGAAATCTTCATATTCACCACTGTGAAAACCTCAAATCTTAAATATGTAATATCAGCTGGGATTCAACATTATGTGCCCCCAAATTAATTTCTGAGGCAGACGACTTGGTCATCATACAAGTGTTCAATATTGTGGTGAGATACCTTGCTTTCACTAACTGAATTCTGCCTCATGGAACACAACATAGCATCCAGCTGATGACTGATGAATTGCAAATCAGTGGTGTGGCAAACTGTTACAGCCAGACATTTGTACAGCATCCCCCGTTCCTCTGGGTAGCTCTGATAAAGTGGTGTCTGCTCCATTAACTTCACTCCTAGACCAACTGTCCATTTTTCTTCATCCATCTCAGTTAAAGTTGCTGATAATAATTCAAGAACAAGATCTTCCCAAACTCGTGCATCCCAACTATCTTTACAATCTGAGAAATAATGTGATTAGTACATCATTGCAGTCTCTTGCTGACATTTAAATGAGAAAAAAGCAGACTTAAGATTATACTAATCTACATTAAAGGATGTTCTAATATTAATAAATTCTGGGTATTGGCCCAACAGATTTGTTACAGCCATTGTGGTAACACCTTTCTTTCTACAATTTCAAATCATATTACTACGCTGTAAAATTTAAGTCATCACGGCAGGTGTTCAGGTGAATTCATATTCAATAAGATTAATGATTATGCATGTCAAATTTGGATCAAAATTTAGTTCATGCAATACGTAATCATAAACATTATCCATAATTTAGTTCTCATATGTAACTGAACAAACTTGGAGAGGGGAAGAAATAATAAAGGAAATATGGATTTATGGTTTTCTAAAATTGTTCATCTGTTAAGTTATTTAAAAACACTGTATCACGTTTAATGACATTTAGGATGTGGCCATGGTTGAATGAACATTCAATAAAATCTTCTTGGGCAATCAGCCACGTCAAATGGTTACACAAAAATACCAACATTTCAGGAACCATCTCAGTCTCCCAAAAAAGGGTACTGATCACATCAGAACCCTGTTGATGGGGACAGAGATGGTTCCTGAAACGTTGGTATCTTCGTGTAACCATTTGGCACAACTGATTGCCCAAGAAGATTTTATTGAGCTTAGTCACCACAAAAGCTTCACAAACTTCTTTGTATTCAAGATATTTCCAACTTTTATTCTAATAAATCAACCACTTACTTTCGAGGTAAGAGACCAACTGTGGTATTTTGCTCTCCCAGAGTGGTTTCAAATGGCGACTGACATTCAAAGCATAATTCTTGAGGAACTGAAGAATATGAACTCCTCTGCCAGACTTAAGAGGACAACCCAGTAGCGCCAAGCACCGTCCCAGTACAACATGTGGACCTGTTACTTCCTCTGCATTAAAATACAAAACATACTAATTACAACAACAAAAAATTTTTGAAAATGCCTTTCTATAAGTATTTAAAGCTAAGGTTAAGACCAATTTTGAAAATGCTTAACCCACGTAGTGCCAAGATTGATTAGAGAAGAAGTTGCAGAAGAATTGAGAAAATTAATAATTTGAAGGCCTATTCATCACTACATACTACGCATGATTTGGATGAAAAAAACCACACTCCACCTTGGGATACTAAGCATAAATGGAAGAAAGACTTTAAAACAGATTTTGACGAAATTTTGTGTTATTGTGCAGACTGGATTCAGCTAGCTCAGGATACAGTCAATCAGTGGGTTCTTGCAAATAGAGTAATGGTCCTTCAGGTTCTACACAAGACAAGGAATTTCTTGACCAGCTAAGCAACAGTAGGTTTCTCAAGGAGGTCTCTGCTGCAGGGAGTTCATTAATTAGTTACTTACTTGATTAATACCAGTTTAATTGTAACACTTGTAAAAGAAAATAGCAAAGGGGCTTCTGTGTCAAAGCACCATACTTTGTATGTACAGCTACAGAGAAGTGGACGTTCTTAAACTTAGCATTAGATGGAGGTAAGCGAACAGCTTCAAGCCCCTACCACTTTACCCTCAGTGAAATAACAACTAGTACCCTATGGCTAAGCTTGGTAGCCCCAGAAACAGTCTGAATGTGATAGCTATGAAATTATTTCTGATCCTATTTGGAATCAAACCCTAATTATTCAACCCATAGCCAGTCACTTTACTTTGGTTAGGCTAACACAGCTCAGATACAAAATGCTATCAAAAAGTTTCCAGACACCCTTTGGTGTCACAATAATAATAATGGCATGGAGCTCTGCTGACAGTGTACACTTTTGTAAGGAGTTTGGTAGAAATGCCAATTGTCTAGTTTCTGCAGTGTGATACACATGCTTTCAAGTAAAACCATGGTGAGTGTCACTTACACTTTCTGATTTTAACCACGACAACAGATTTGAAAGTTTTGATAGAACCTCATATAATATTGTCATTTCTTCACACATTCGCTTTCAGTTTAAAGCAGCCGAAGAATATGTACCAGTTCTTCATTTACATCATTTCAGTACTAACTTCAACATGGTTACACAGTAAAAGGCAGCAATGTGGACAAGAGCAATGAACAACATCAACTGGGAGGAGAGAGAAGCTGGGTATACTTTGTCTAAGATTTGTTCCATACACCATGGAAAATTAGCCCTTCACTCATGCACTTTTCTTATATGCATTTTTTCAGGAACGTGTCTACCACATAGGTGGAGAAATTACTGTATCAAATTCAGCAAATACAGGACACTATATTTTATACTTAGACACTAGAATGGGATAATGCATAGCGTTATGTAAAATAACTATGCCACTGACTTACGTGCCAATTTGGCAGAGTTTTCAGTGAAGTTTACTTGGTCTCTCCTTTTTGTTGCTAGAAGTGCTAGACAGCGAACGATATGAGAGCACGCTGGGGTGTACTGACTTGTTAGCAAGCAATGAAGCAGGATTGGCCACAAAGTGTTTTCCACCTGTGGAACTGTGGTTGTAAGGAGATAGAGAGTGTTTGCACAGGTCTCTTGAAGTTCCTCCAGCAAACTACCATTGTTTAAGTCTTTTCCTATCTGACAGGCAAAAGTCAAGAAATAAGATCTGTACAAAGAAATATAACATTTCAGGTATAATTTACAAAAATATCTTAGACAGTTCAGATACTTACAACAGGTGTTGGATGAGGACAACAGTGTTTCACAATAAATTCCACAAAATCTTTTCCTTCAGTACCATCCAAATAGCCACGGTAAGCAAATGCAACTATAGCCTTCAGAAGCACCTTCTTCACCTAAACAAAATTAATTTTCATTTCCAACCAATCATCCTTCCTGACAGAGAGACAAACATAGCATGATGTTGCTACGTATAATAGGACACAGCTTGATTCTCATTACTTAGGTAAGCTTAAAAATTGTACTCACCTAACGTAATTGTTGGAACTTAAAATGGACTGTATACAAACTTCATGTAGCAAATGTAAATAAAAAAACATTTCAAGTAATGGATCCTATTCACTACAAAGATTCCCCAAATTCTTAAGTTGTCATGAGTGTGTCACCATGCAGATAAAAATAATGAGGTTAATCTGCCTTGACTGAAACCTCACAATGCCAGCATAAAACACCAAATATTTGGTTTAGGGAAAAATATTAATATCAAATTCTATGGTTATGGAACACTGAGGAACAAGGACTGAATAATGGATGGTAAATCAGTAAGAGCAGAGGAAAAAGACACCACAGCCTCCATTACCATGGTCCCTAACAGTATTAAAAACAACATGAAAGCAAGCCAAAACTTATATTCCAATTTTTAGACTTAAAAATTATGTCACCATTACTGCAAATAAATAATGTTATGTTCTGTCAAAATCAGTTTCAAGCATCACTCCCAAAATTTACATTTTATCATTGTGTAAAATAACTACAATACTCAAGAAACTTAACTATACAATTAAAGTTTCTCATACCTTGACATTATGTTCTCCCAACATATTTCTCAAAGCAGTTACAAGGCTGGCAATCCTGGAGCGAATGATATTTTCTGATGAGTTCACAAGGTGGGTGACAACAAACAGGGCCTTCACTCTCTCTCTATCATTATTGTTTTTTAGCTGCTGAATCAAAAGTTCAATGACTTTGTCCAGGAAATGGCCCGCTACAAGAAATACGATTATAAAGTGAGGGCGATGCTGATGACAACAACAATAATAATATAAAAAGGTGGAATATATAAAATTTCCAGCTTGATCCTGTAGCAAATATTAAATCTATGTAAATCTTTTTCTGTAGATTACTCAAGCACAGACAAATCTCAGCATTTAACATATCTTATGATACAAAGCATACTGTAACACCACCAAATGTCATGCACACCAGCACTCCAGAAAATCAGAGATTAATACAGAGTAAACTGTAATACACATTTGTATAAATATAGATAAGTTCACTAACCTAAACAGTCAAAACATCGCAGAACTTCATAATGATTCTTTGCAGTTGCAGGCTGAGCGTAGTCTGGTGATATGCATACCTAAATTAACAGAAAAACCTGCATTTACTATAAATATGAAATCTACGGGCAATACAATACAAATAAACACTACACACCTGCAAGTCACTGTAAATACTATGCAATACTCAAATTTCACTTTTGGTACAGGTTTAATTTCAGTTGTAAACAGATTCAGTTATCAAACAGAATGGGTGAAAACAAGAATGGATAACTATACTTAAATTTGAACTAAACCTTTGAGATTTGCATCCATCACTGACCTTTATATTCAGCTATTTTACACATAAACCAACTAATGTCAGACACAAAACAAAAGGTGCAATCCACACCAGAGTACAGTTTCCACATGTGTTCCTTGCACCTTTAGAATTATGAATGTTACCTACAACTTTTGAATCACTTTGATGAAGATGTTAATAACAGTAGAACTATGACTGATCTTACCAAATCAAACATGATATTCTGCAGATTGTCCAAAAGTGGTTCTACAGAACTCCTATGATTAGCAAGAGCCACAAGTAAGACAGCAGAAAGACACTGCGTTACAGGATATGGGTCCACATTCCGTCGGTACAAACCAAGCAGAACAGGAATGAGTCTTGGCACCTGCTCGGAAATTTTCTCAGGTGAAAGTAGAGAAAACATCGGACCAATCGCTTGTAATACCATCTCACAGACCTGTTCAAATACATAGTTTTTTGTATATAAGCATTCTGCTGACTTGATAAATCAATATTTATCACACAATCCAAAAACATTTTGTTATACTGTTGTTATACTGGTACCTCATTAGCCTTGATTATATTTATTAGACAAATAAATCCATTGTTTTATAAATAAGTGCAGTAAAGATCAGAAATTATTTTACTTGTATTCAATCACCATATCAAAAATGTTTTATTAATAAAAATTGTAAGTTTACTAATCTTTTTTATGATACACTATCTTTGAGATAATCTGTTTTAACCCTTTGCGGGCCTATGTCGGATCGAGTCCGACATTTAAAAATCTGAATTCTGGTCCGATGTCGGACTGAGTCCGCCAGGTATTTTACGAATTTTTTACATGATCTGGAGTCAAACTGAGGGTGGCAAACAGTGTCAGCATATCATTCAAGCCTTCTTCTTTGCACTACTTCTATCCTAGTTTTCCTGGTAAGACTAAGGAAAAATATTTCCCACGGTCAGTATTCAAACAACAGGGACTGTGATCCTATCAGAACATATTTTCACCATATTTAGCAAAGTTTCTTCCACTTTATGCAAGTTATAAAAGAAAATCAAACCAGTTCATATTGGTAGTTGAATTTATACAGCTTAGTGGTATTTAAATAGACCAGCTGAGAGCCGCAGTGGTATTTAAAAGGGACCGCAAAGGGTCAAGCTACATGTAAAGTACAAATTATATCAGACCAATTCAAACCAAAATTAAATTCACACAAATGCAAAGATCATAGATTAAATGTCAGTTGGAATAAATATGTTATTAACATGGAGCATGGTGAGATTAAATAACAACACAAAAAACTGGTGAGTTTCATGTGATTAGGAAGTAAAATAGTGACAAACAGAATCACTATAATAAAATTAGAAAAAGAATAAAAATGCAGGAATATTTTAACACATGGTGAGGAGACATGCACTGGAAACTGATTTTTATATCCCTATGATTTCTCATACACTCAAAACTTAATACCTTTGGCTCCCTTGTATGGATCCATGTATTTGCCAAGACATCATAAGCTATATTTATTTCTGATGAAAACGATTCTTTCCTCACTGTAGGATCTGGAGCTTGGTCTATGTTTGCTAAGTAATCAGCCACTGCATCACTGAACCTCCCCAGAGCTGAAAACATGAAAATAAAAACTTAGCAATATATCTAGTTGTGAATTTCTGGGTGGAGTGGATGGTCAACAAAACCTTCAAGGACTATCAGCTTTCCATATGCTAGGCTTTTATATCCACCTTAACAAAACATTGGCTTGGCACATTATCAAATCCTGAGCCAATATAACTCAGCTAGTATAGTGACTATATGAGATTTGAGGTTAACACAGAAATGGAGATATTATGAGTTTCCTGAGTTCTAACATCATGTGGACTTGTACGTTTGCCAACGTTCTTGGAGGAACACAATGACTCCATCTTTAGTGCTGAAGTTATTTCAGTACAACATCAACACTACAGTGAATGACAATATGCTGGATATAAGTTCACTCAGCAGCAAGTTGTTAGGTAAATTTATCAACACCATCTATAAACCAGTTCTAGGGTCCAGCTAGCATCCTATGCAAGGGTACCAGAGTTCTTTCCTCGCAGGTTAAACAAGTAGGGCACAAAAGTAACCACTCACTTCCATGTAGTGCCATACCTCCACTCCAATCTCCCATACATCTATATGGCATGAGCACCAGGGATAATTTGACTTGCTTTTACCTAACAATATTTCATAAAGAGTACAAATTATGAACATCCTCTTTACACAGTTTCTCAATCCTACTGTTACTTCCTCTCTTCGGTCCACATATTCCCCTTGGCAGTTTGTTCTTCTCCTGGGAAAGGGACTAAGTTTCATGCCCATACAAAACAACAGCTAAAATTATAGTTATATCTAGTAATTATACCTCAATCACAAGAGCCACAAGGCAGGTTTAAGTTCATATCAGAAACTACATAGTAAATAATAATGTATACGCAAAACAAATCCATTCAAATAAATGTTAATTAAATTACATATATAACAAGATAACATTATCCAAAAATATACTGTCGTCTCAAGAGAAGCTTGGCATCCACCTTATCTCCTTGTGATATGGATGCACCTGGTGAAATTTACTGAAGAAAATTCAGTTCCGACACTGAATGCCTGCCCTGCCAACCGTGGGTAACTAGAAAGATGGATTATCAAAAGGACATTTTAATTGGAACATAAAACATTATATCTAATCCCCGCAGTTGATAACAGTTATACACAGTTCTGTATCAATTAATGAAAAGGCAAACTTAAAGTAACAACTTCTGAGAAAAGTTTATATACAGGGAAAGTACTAAACAGTAAGAAAGTTTATAACTATACAACGCAAATGAGGACAAACGTACTCACTGTATGAAAATACTTGCTTCATAGCATCATTTCGTAACATGCCCATCATGGGTAGCATTGTACCCAGGGTTGCTTTAACAAATGGTACTATACCAAATACATTAGCCGAAGCTAGAGCTCCCATGGTGTGCAGAATTGAATAGTGTGGAATTACACCTGGCTGGAAGTGCCTGAGAAGACCTCCCAACACCTGAACAGAGAAAAGTTATCTTTGTGTCATCATTCATGCAACATAATAATTAACTACTCTTTAACAAATATTATAATTGTACTTAATCACACTAACTTTAATTATATTTTCAATTATTATCCTTAAATTACAAATTACTAAGAAATGCTGCAGCTTCTTCAACAATAACAATAAATAAATGTCAATAGTCAGTTTTGTTATACTGCCAATACTTACCATCTAGTAAGAAATTATAATACGAGGCGCGTCCCAAAAGTAAGTTTCCCACTCGTCCCACAGCTAGCAAACCTTATAATGCGCGAAGCGACTGTGTGTACGTGATAGAGCAATGACGTAGCATGGCGCATGCACTAACGGTACTTCCCGCGTTCTCACAGTAGCATCGTTGCAGCTGTTGAAGATGGAGGTTCTTATTCCAGCTCCCGCCGACTGTGAAGTGCGGTCAGTGATAACGCTAGGCCGCACACGACTCGACGGACAGCAAGTCTCCTGCAGGAGTTCAGCTGGGAGGTGTTTAATCATTCACCCTACAGCCCGGACCTCGCTCCCAGTGATTTCCATCTTTTCCTACACCTCAAGAAATTCCTGTCCGGTCAGCGTCAGCGTCAGCGTTTTGAGAATGAAAGAGAGGCGGAGATGGTTGTCACACAGTGGTTCCAATCCCAGGCGGCAGACTTCTACGACACAGGTATTCAAAAGTTGGTCCCACGGTATGACAAATGTCTCAATTCCGGTGGCGAATATGTTGAAAAATAGCTGGACACTTGCTGTATCTGTTGCAATAAATATTTCCATGAAATTGTGTTTTGTTTCTGTAAACGGCCCCAGGGAAACTTACTTTAAGGACGAGCCTCGTATATTTGTATCTCACAATTACCAATGACCAATCCTTTTCACATACTTCCCACTTTAATATTTACAATCATCATGCCATTACATTTTACATAATCCACATTCTGTTCTGTTTTAATTTTCCTTTGCGACACCCCAAAAAGGGCTTTCCTATTGGCCCATACATAGCTCCATCTCCCCTTCTCATCTTATGGTTTTGATTGGAAAATTTGCATTCCTGATCCATCTCCCGTTCCTTTTTAAACCATCTACTTCCACAACACTCCTCATTTCAACCATGATAATGGATACAGTATGTTCCTCTGAAATGTCAGCAACATAATTCATTTTCACATGGTAGCAGCACCCAAAAGCAAGATCAATATCAACAATGAATCACTACTGAATCTTAAAATAAGCTAGTAACAAATTTGTCAGTACAATGACAACCAACCACCTGAAGACAGGAGTACAGCCAAATCCAAAAATGTCCTGTATATAAAAACAACATTAGACAATGAACAAAGTCCAGACATAATATTCATATAACAAATCAAACAATGTCACAAAACCTTTATTGAATCATGACATAAGAAGAAAATGCACATACTTCATTGCAGTGAACTTGTCCCAAAGCTACCAGAATGCCAGATGCAGGCAAATGTAGATCTGGCTGATAGTCTGTAGTCTGAGTTATCTCCTCTAAACTGAAGTCAATCAACTGAAGCACCATGTCACCATCAATATCAGGCAAGTGCTCCTTACATATCTGTTCCATTGTTTGCAACAGTGCTATCAAATGTGATGCCGAAATCTATAACAGTTTCCAATACATGACTCAGCTTCATTAAGTAACATTTAGTTGTACACCATAAATCATACAAATGCATGCACAAATCAAAACAGTCCATGAAATGAAACAATTGCAAGCAAGCATGTATGAAATACACAAGATGGAAGCCATGCCAAACCATGTGATAGCATTATGAGTATAGGAAGGAGACAGGAGTTTTAATAAATCTACTATGTAACAAACCTGTAAACAAAGAAGAAGAGTTGTGATAACACAGACATGACAAATCCCATGATGAGATCTGTATGGTAAATATGGGGTGGTAGGTGTCCAGCATACAGACGAGACTAGTACCAAACATGAAAGCAATGATAACAGAAATTGTGCAGATAACATGTGAGAGTGGCAGGAAGTGTGGGAAAAAATTTGATAGCCCCTCTGCAACACTCCATCAGGATGACAAACCTACCTTGAAAGACCATGCAAATTTTATACATGGAATTTCATATCATAATAGCATTTTTTAAATAGATGAAGTTGTTTTATTACTTTTGAAACACAATCCCAATTTTATTTATGTGGACATATTGAAATTAAATAAAATATGGTATACACCTACAAAATAGTGACCAGTTTCTCAAGTTTATTTTGCTATTGGTATATTCTAATCCTGATACACTAATAGTATTATCCAAGTTAAAACAAACATTTTTATCTCATATTTAGATACTTCTCTAACAAATCTAAATTCAGTGATAAGCTAGACTGAATCAGGCCAGTTTAATATAACTCAATCCATGTCATATTTATAGCAGATCTAGTTACTAGTAAGTATAAATACAGGGTATACACAAAAAGAATGGTGCAACTGTGACTGGCAACTCATTATTGGACATGTTGGAAAGCCGGTTGTTACCCCAACTGAATACCACTGAATACCAATTATGACGATTACATTCTACAACTGGACGGAGCTTCCCCCCCCCCCCCCCTTTGAATGTAGGAGTGCTTCTCAATCGTGTTTTTCCACAGCGTTGGATCGGACGAGTTTGATTACCGTGTGACCCAGGGTGCACACATAGAAGGATTGTAATTAACGCATGAGAAACTTGGACAGTTGCCACCGCTGACGGTGTATGTTGTGCCCGTGTAAGGTGAGAAATAAATTCTTTATTAACTTTTGAAACCGCACCATTCTTTTGTGTAAACCCTGTACACATGGTTTGGTAGTAAATAACATCATGGGTGTGCACATACTAAAAATAATCACATAAATGGTAGTCATTATTGTATACCTGTTCCTCAAATACACCAAAAACAAAACACAAGTTTTGACCATTATCTCTAACAGTGACAACAGTCATGGCATAACAGAAAATATACAAGTATAAATCATCAAAATTAAGTTCAATTGCTGCCTGGCTTATTGCATTACCCACAAAATAACATAGTCCTACTAAGATATTTCTTACCTTGGGATTTCTCATCCGACATGAAACTATATTTTTTAGCACAAAATTTGGATGCTTCTTAGCAATTCTCCTTAAAGAAGTAGTGATAATTTCACGCACTGCATGATCTCTGTCAGCAGCTGCTTCAATAAGTGTACCAACAACTACTGAAAATGAAGAAAAATTGTTACCCATTTCATGTTTGTGTATGTATATTTTATTCAACACAGATTTGAGTATCATCTACTAGCAGACAATTAAATTTGTTTATTAAAATTAAGTGGCTATTTTGTACAACTGACAATAAATTTATAGTGCCTTAAGAGGAACCTCACTTTATTTACTTGTCCTAACTTAACTGTCATATTTACAACCAAGATACAGCAAATCATTTATTCAGGACATCCAGGACCTTCCAACAGTAGTAAAACTTATTATCTTGCCTGTGCCTTTTAATCATTATCCCTGCTAGCCATAAGAATCAAGAAATAATATTACAGCAAAACTGCATAGTAAGGTAACATCAGATGTATACAATGACAGAGACCAAATTAAGACCTTACATAAAAAGAAAGAGATTTAATATTGCCTCATCACCCTTCCAAAGCAAACAGTGGAACACTGCAGTTTATCACACCATGTATTATTGTAAGAAACTTCTGCCAATAACATAAAGTGTTACAATGAGAAACCTCTAACCTGGAATGACATTGTCATGAAAGCTTAAAACCTCATAAAAATTTTTTTATTTGTAGTGTTCTGTCTGACGACAGGTCCATATATTATGAACAGGATCCTTCCAACCTCTTCAGGTTGTCAGGGACCTGCTCATATATATATACATTCTTGGCAGAGATGATCAGAAGTGGTTTGCCATTGCCTTCTTCTGTGTGTGAGTGGAGTAATTGTTGGGATGCCACGGAGAAACCGGGGAAGCCCCCGGAGGAAAACTCCGTGATGCCTAGATCACGGCCTTGCCCAACACAAGTTATAAATTTGAGCACCACAGGGAATTGAACCCGGGACCCCAGGCTTACAAGGCTAGTGTTCTGACCGCTAGACTACCGTGGCAAGCAATAAGCTTAATAAAAAAATATGCTACACATATGAAACTTTATAGATATATCATAAACATATGTACAAATTCTGTGCAAACCATTTCTGAAAGTAACAATTACAAACACAGTGACTGTGACACCTTTAAGTTATATCTGACATATGTAACACTTATCACAATCTATGCTAGTGCATATGACGCAGAGAAATGGATTATAAAATTATGTAGTTATTGAGGGACAATGTTTGCAATGTGCCTGATAACAATTTTGACATGTGCATATCACCCAGAGGGCTTGCACTGAAATCAATTAAGTGACATAACTTTGAGAGTTCTTGTTTATGGTCTACAAATGCCATTACTGTGTAATGTATCTTAAAATCATTATGATCATTTAATCTGAAAAGATGACGTAAAGAGTGTAACCTATTCAAAATTATCTCCTAGTATTTTCTGGGAAAACAGTGGCAAACTATAATAAACCATATGCAATCTAACCCAAATTTGTTACATATGTATAACCTAATTTATTTTGATACATTCAGAACAGTTTACGGCATCAAAACTATCCTTTATTAGAATTAATCATGTACATGCACAGTAGCATGTTACCTTAACGTATGAACGCTAGGCATCATATAAAAGAGTTCTGGCACCAACTAGAGTTCTGCAAACAAGTGCACAAACATGAAAGTACTTACCCAGAAGTCGGGAGTCCTTCGCTCCTGAATCCACCATTCTTAATGCAGACTTGTGTTCTCAAAACTATAACAAGTATCAATTACACAGGAATATAGAGAATGTCACTTTTCTGTATCATTTAATTATTTGTCCCCTACTTTGAAAACACATACGAATCGATCAGGCCTACAGCGAACTATACGGACGAAATGACATTTCACAATTTCACTTATTTGTAAGTTCTAACTGAAGGAATACGCAAAGCATGATGAAAACATGTAGTAAAATAGTCAATCACGTGATTATTACTTGCTGAACTGGTAACAGAATCCACAGTCTACTACTTTGGGTACGTACAAGACGGAGCCTAACAGGTCGCTGGAAGCCGGGAAGGTATGGTATAGCATAGCAAAAACCTAGGGCGTGTTTACAGTGACTCTTGTTCCAGGCTTA